GTCTCAAGGAAACAGGGCCCGAGTGGGGGAAGCTCCATCCTCCACCATAGGAGGAGCCATGCCAGTTCTGCTGGTCCGAATGGTTGGTGGCCCAGATGGAGTTCAGCAGTATCAATACTGGCCATTTTCCTCTAGCGATCTCTACAATTGGAGAACCCAAAATCCTCCCTTTTCTGAAGACCCTAAGTGTCTAATAGGTTTGGTGGAATCCATTATGTACACCCATTGTCCCACATGGGACGACTGCTAGCAGCTACTTCGCACCCTCTTCACAATAGAAGAGCGAGAACACATCCTGAATGAAGCCAGGAAGAACGTCCTCAGAGAAAATGGGAGGCCCACTACCCTTCAGCCTGCCATTGATGAGGTGTTCCCCCTCACACGCCCAAATTGGGATTTTGGGATGGCAGAAGGTAGGGAGCATCTCTGGGTCTACCGCCAGACTCTGATGATTGGCCTCCAGGTGGCTGCAAGACGGCCCACTAACCTGGCTAAGGTGAAAATAATTGTTCAGGGAGAAACCGAAAGCCCAGCCGCATATCTGGAAAGGCTATTTGATGCCTATAGGCAATACGCCCCTATAAATCCAGAGGCAGAGGAACACAGGTCAGCTGTAGTCCTCTCCTTCAGAGAGCAGGACCCTGCCCATCTAAACTAGGGTGGGAACAGTGCGCCCTGTGCAAAAGATATGGGCATTGGAAGAGAGAGTGCCCACAAAGAAGAGGAAGACAAGGAGGAGGGAGCCCTATCAGGACCCTCCACCTGAGAGAAGGAAACTGACGGGGACAGGGCTCAGCACCCCTCCCTGAGTCTTGGGTAACTCTGTGCATGGAGGGGACTCCCACTGGGTTCATGGTAGATACTGGAGCACAGTATTCAGTTACAATCAAGCTCACCATCCTCTAAATCCAGGACATCATAATCCAAGGAGCTACAGGAACTAAGAGGTGCACCTGGACCACCAACAGGAAAGTGGACTTGGGAAGGCATGAGGTTTCCCACTCCTTCCTGGTTGTGCCCGAGAGTCCCACACCTTTGTTGGGTAGAGACTTACTCACCAAGATTGGGGCACGTATCCATTTTGAGCCTAAAGGGACAAAAGTCATGGACTCAGAAGGACAGTCCCTGCAGCCAGTACATGTGTTGTCTCTATCTCTGGCTGATGAATATCGCCTATTCCCAGCAGCTCTAGGAAAGGGGGGCCAGGAAGACATGAGCTCCTGGTTGCAGGAGTTCCCTTCTGCCTGGGCTGAAACCAGGGGAATCAGCCTCGCTAAGCACCTGCCCCTGGTTGTGGTCCAACTCGAAGCCACGGCCCTGCCCATTCGGGTCCAGCAGTACCCGATGCCAGAAGAGGCTAGGAAGGGAATAGCGCCTCACATCCATAGACTGCTAGAAGTAAAAATCCTTAAACCCTGCCAATCAGCATGGAATACACCCCTGCTTCCTGTGAGAAAGCCTGGCAGTGGAGATTACAGACCGGTGCAGGATTTGCAAAGGGTAAATGAAAGGGTAGAGGACATTCACCCCGCGGTCCCTAATCCATATCCCCTACTTGGCCCCCTGCCACTGTCTCATGTGTGGTATACCACCCTAGACTTGAAAGATGCTTTCTTCAGTGTCCCTCTCGCTGAAGTCAGTCAGCCCTTGTTTGGCTTTGAGTGGCAAGAACCAGGAGGGGGGAAGACAGGGCAGCTCACCTGGACCAGACTGCCACAAGGCTTTAAGAACTCTCCCACCTTGTTCAATGAGGCACTAAGCCAAGATCTGGAGCCCTTCCGCAGAAGGCACCCCCATGTGACTCTGCTACAGTATGTAGATGACCTGTTGCTGGCTACAGCAACCCGTGAAGAGTACATGGAAGCTACGAGGAACCTGTTAGCTGAACTGGGCAGCCTGGGATATTGGGCCAGTGCCAAAAAGGCGCACATCTGCCAGAGGTCAGTGGTTTACTTGGGGTACAAGATAGCGGAAGGAGCCAGATGGCTAACAGAAGCCATAAAACAGACTATCCTGACCATTCCTGTGCCCTCCTCTCCCTGGGGAGTGAGGGAATTCCTTGACTCAGCTGGGTTTTGCAGACTCTGGATCCCAGGGTATGCAGAGATAGCCCATCCACTGTATGAAGCCACCAAAAAAGGACTGGATTGGAAGTGGAGTCAGAAACAGCAAGAAGCATTTGACAGACTAAAAGAAACTCTTCTCCAGGCCCCCGCCCTGTCTCTGCCAGACCCAGAAAAGCCCTTCATTCTGTTCATAGATGAAAAGAAGGGAGTGGCCAAAG